CTCATCAAAGAGGTCAGACATAGGGTGTATATACAGCTTTTTAGGGATGTGCCGGTGAGTTTGCCTGACTCGTTAGTTTGAATACAGTTGTAAGAATGATACCCTGCTCTGATGATGTTCGTCATTCGACGGACAAAAGTTTATGACGTTTTCACCAGAATCGAAGGAGATTATATCAGAAACAGTGTCAACAAGAATCCGCGGTGGTCTTCTGATGGGATCAGCCTTGGAATCTCTTCGCCAAATACTTTCACTTGAAATGGAAGTAAGCTCAATAATCGGCAGTCACACTGTTGGGGCAATAATCCGACAATGATGAACCAGGTTGATCTTGAAAAAACAAACTGATTGTTAAGAATGATAAATAGACTCGAATTATGTAAAATCACACCATATTGATCAGCCAAGATAGTAATTCGTGAGTTTGGTGAGTTACGCTGAGTTTTGAGTTACCCTGCCGAACACTCCTAAAGCGAACATCGATCGGTTGTTAACATAGGCCTCAAAAATATCGAAATGGATAAGGAAAAATCCAATTGTATTTTAATTGTATTGGGTGGAATAAAATTTGTTGTTGCTCTTATTTGCGTACCGAAACACAAGTAAAACCAAGTGGATGACCAAATTGAAATAGGAATTAACTAACCTTGCTTAAGCCCAAAGCGAATGCCTCCAGATGAAGTTGACTGCTGACTGTTAAATGGAACTCTTTACTGCTCGAATTGGTTGCTGAAACAGCATTAATTGCCCGATCTGAGGGCTGCTGCACACGAAAGGCTTCGCCAGCGCCCTCACAATCATTGGTAGTGAGTAAGGGAGTGTCGATCTGAGTGAGGAAAGAAGAGTATTGGAGGAGTGGGACGAGGGGACGAAAACAAAGTTACATTCAATGAAAGATGAAACAAGGGTGAATTTATTTGTATATAAGCATTTAATCACATGTTTATAGTGCCTTTGATTCTTTGGTAAAATCCACGAATACCTCCTTGCTATATGTATCCACAAACTAAAAGGAATTTCCTGAAGAATAAAAAAAAATGGAGAAGGTAATTTTCCTGTAGGCATATTCAACCATACATTTATGCATATTTTACCATATAAACGCGCGAGAACGAAACCCAGGTGATATTCTTGAGTATATAAAAAACAACGTGAACTTTTCTCCAGGGAATCAAGGTCAATATGAAGTAAGACTGGGTTTTAATGAATACCTTATTGATGTATTATTACATGACTTTCCATTTCGAAGGAAAAGATGGTTGGAAAAAATTCGTGACCTGGTCTCAGCAGGAACCGGAGAATTACCGCGTAGGAAAGATTGTTGCATTGTGCAAAGAAGTTCGCAGCTCAACATCCCGTGAGATCGATGAACATGTGCTGAGCTTTCATCTGTACTGTTACAGACATCATCCGAGCAAAAAACACATAGAAGGACCTTCATTTTCTATAAAAGTGCATGAAGAAGAGATTCGTTGGTCGATCTCACCAGATGAGGACGGATAATCTTGTTGCACTGCAGCCGTCTGGCTTTTATACGATATTCATTTTGACGCAGTCCACGGGACTTCCTCCCTCGTTTCGGGTGAAAACGTGCTGAG